AGAAACATGGCGTTTCAACATGGCGGCCTCTATGGACGGTTCAGTCTAAGGTGACGAAAACATAATGATTAATATTTTTAGGTGATTATACACAAATGAATATTATGTTTTATTTCCGCCAATAGACCCTCCTAAATGTTACACACTTGACCTTTAATATAGCAGATAGCGGTGGAGATGAAAGAGAGTTAATGGCTCATTTTGAAAATGTTCTACTTGTTGCAGTCAGATCTTCTGCCCACCTCAACCCAGGGTGCAGTAGAGACTGCCATTGCGGCTGGCTACCGCCACATAGACACTGCTTACAGCTACAGCAACGAGGTTGATATTGGCAAGGCTCTGTGTTCCAAGATGCAGCAGGGCATCATCAGGCGGCAGGACATGTTCATCGTCAGTAAGGTGGGTGCTGAGGAGTTAAACCTTACTAAACCTTACACACAGATAAAGGGGGGTTATTTGGTGTTTTCTGATTTGTTAAAGCCTAGACAAGAAACTTTGATTTTATGTTGGTTTAGGTAGTAGGTCATATAAAGGCATCAATAGAAAACTTTTTCATAACCAGTTAAAAACTTCTTGTAGTTTAAAATAAGCTTTTTAGTTATTAAAAGAAAAAATACCATATTATAGACAATTTTATTCATTAATATATATTTTTTTAAATGGTGCCTTATATATTAAATATGATGTTTTTTTGTTAACTATTCTGTTCTGTACCCTTTTACCAGCTGTGTGATACCCATCATGCCCCAGAGGACATCCCTGTCTGCCTGAATAAGTCCCTGAGTGATCTCCAGCTGGACTACCTGGATCTCTACCTTGTGCATTTCCCAGTTGGCCTGAAGGTTGAACCTTACATTCATAATAGTATTGTGGAATTCAGATTTTACTATCCCTTAACCTGTCTTTATCATGACACTTATTGTTGTCCAATAATTCCTGGTAATGGAGACCTCGAACAGCATTATCCTGCTTATACTACAGTGACCATTAACTTATATTTGTGATTTCTTTTACAAGCCATACCTCCATTTCCCTGATAACACTTGAGGGTTTGACTAATACCTGGAAGAATTATTACCATCCCATAAGGTTCTTTGTAATGGAAATGTTGTTCACTACTCCAGTAAATAGGACAAACCATAGATACAACTTAGCAATAGGAGATGTTTCTAGTTCCCTCCGCTCATAGAGTGCTTTGGCTCAGCTACGAAAAACAGTGAGCTAACATTATGCTAGCAGGATTTGAAAAAATTAAGACCATTCATTTTTAGTTGAACACATTACAGTAGGACAAGGTACGTTTTATCAGTGTTGTATATATATATATGAGATATTCAGATTTTGTTGTCATTCAATTTATTTCTGCACATTCATTTAGAACGGCAGACAGTTTCACTGGAATAATGTAACAGGTGTCCTACATCAGGAATGAATCAGATCAAACTCAGTTTTCATCCAGACCATGGTATAAAGGACATTAGTGAGAGATATAGAGAGTCAAACATAGTCTATCCAAAACAATAAACTTAAAGAAGCAAAAACTGCAGAGCGGCAATGTTACTTCTAAGTGGATACTATTTACACTTATTTTATTAATTGCAAATATCAAATACATCACTTAATGCAGGCTAAGACTCATTTTCTGGTTCTATATGTTTTCTAAATTTACAAATATTCTTGAGAGAGGGAAGTAATTATAAATGTTGAGGAAAGGACACATGGTGCCTCTTGTCAACAAGCATTACTGACTATTAATTTTACATTTCTTCCTAGAAAGTAGGTGATGAGCTTTTCCCAAAGAAGGATGGAAAGATGCTGACCTCTGACATAGACTATATAGATGTGTGGAGGGTAAGAACACATGTACTGTCTCCTTTTGCATGTGCACTGGCACCAGCTCAATCACTGAAAGAACGATGAAAAAAAAATTATAGCTAAAATAGTAATGGCTAAAGGGAATGGAAATTACATAAATGTACACATACAAATATTTATAGAAATGCACTTTGTCAGAAAAACAGAATATAAATTTGTAAATTTGTAAATTGTTTCCTAAACGTTTTTCTCCCTTACGGTTAATTTAAAAAAAAGCATACTTCACCCATCTGGCATAGGAAGGAGAATTTGAACTTTTTTAGTTAAACCACATAAGCCTTTTAGCATGGATCATAGATGTGTGTTACTGCTGTTTTGTTTGCAGGGGATGGAAGCCCTGCAAGCCTCAGGGAAGGTGAAGAGCATTGGTGTGTCCAACTTCAGCATCCTGCAGCTGGAGAGACTTCTTGCTCTGTGCAGGGTGCCTCCTGCTGTCAATCAGGTACTGCATATTTAGCTCCTTTATAAAAAATAAGCAGGAGAAAGTCTCTTTATTCAAAAAAAATTTGTTTTATGATTTACTTTCTTATCATTCTTAAAGTATGGATCCATGTCCTATACTTCCATTTACTGTGCTAGTAAGAAGTGATTTGCGGTGTCCTGATTTACTCACATTACATTATACAGTGGTACACCTAGCTTACTATAACTGTAACAAGTTATGCTTTTATTTACATTGTTCTTTAAAGAGAACTTCCCAGAGTGAAATTATGGTCCTCCAGCTCCACCTTCAGAAAATTCCTAAGCTGTCTCAATCAGCATCTGTATGTGCTCACCTTTTATTTGGTGTTATGTCATTCATAGGTGGAGCTACATCCCTACTTGGTGCAGACAGACATGATAGAGTTCTGTAAATCCAAGAACATCGCCCTGACTGCCTACAGCCCCTTCGGCTCACCTGCGAGACCTCCAGAGCTGTAAGACATACAGCGTCACTCACACACTCCACTGACCCAGACTGATGATTAAAAACGGAATCAAGAATCTGAATAATATCTGTTGATATCGGTTCATATCAAGTTAGGTGTGATCATGCTCAGGGGTCATTTTTGTGATCCATAGAGGACACACTTATTTAGATCCACATGTGTTGGTTCATGCTGCACAGTCTCAACCACATTAGAGCCTGTAAACAAATAACTCAGGAGTTGTTATTGTACAGGTTATCTCTCATCCTATAGCTAACACTTTGTCTACCTAATCCTACATCTTCACATCAGTTAAGAGAGTATAGAAAAAACGTTCTGCTCTTTAAAAGGACACTTCACCCATT